TTTGTGTGAATCTTCTTTTTCCAATATGAAGTTTATTAAGAACAAATATCGCAATCGACTTACAGATGAACATTTGAATAATTGTATTCGAATGGCTGTATCAAATTATACTGCAAATATTAAAAAAATTATCGATGAGTCTGAGTGTCAGCCTTCTCATTGAATGTGCTTTTTTATTTTTCAATGTTTATGTTTATGATACTGCATTACTTTTTTGTTGTAATTATTACGTGACATGCCGTTGTGGCTGGATAAAAGTTTGTGTTTATTTTTCAAACACCTTCGTTTGGTAGGTAGGAATGTAGCTATGAACAAGTACGTACTAGTAATATTAGTTATTTTGTTATTAGTTTATTATTAGTACCTATGTATTATGTATTACCAGTTAAATAGTAAAATAAATACATATAATGATAAATTAACTGTGGATTATTTCATTTACGTTGCGTTACGTGGCTTCCGTGTGGGTAGCTCGCTGTTTATTCCAAAATTAACAAAGTAGCTGAACACTCCTACCAAACAGAATGTGATCAATTTGGTCTTGTTTCGTTCAAGAACAGTCAAGTGTTCAAATTGGACATTTAGCTACTACTCTTGTTCATACAGTTGAGTCAAATTAGTCTAGAGTGCACTCTTTTTTATCCAGTTTAGACTGGGTTATTTTGAGTAAATTTGACAGAACGTAGAGTTCTTTTGCAGAAGTCGTTGTTTCATATTATTTTTATGTGTCATAAAGGTGTTTGAACATGGAATTCTATAAAATTAAGTTTGTTTTAAAATAATTAATCTTAAATTTCTTGTCTTATTGCCTTTATAGATCATTCATTATAAACTTGATTATAAATAGGACCATGGGCGTCGTTACACAATTCTATAGGGAGGGGCAAAATTTTGAAAAAAATTAGAATGGTTATTTGTTGAAAAACAAAGAAAATGAAAAATAAAGGAGCAATACAAATTAACAAAAGTTTCTAATAAATAAAATAACCCAAACAAAAAATAAAAAACTAAAATAAAAAAAGAAACACATTTTTAAAAAACAGAAGGTATGATATAAAAGAAAAATATGAACACAGAGCCATACATAATAATTATTTTTCGATGTACGCTCACCTTGCAAAGCCCAGTTAACCTATTTTTATTCATTATTCGCTCTGTGAGTGACAGCAGCGCCAACTAATTTATGAACTAACGGAAGATATTTGCGTATACTGACAATATAATTTTTAATAGAATTCGTATTTAAAAAATATATATGTTGATTTTAATAAAAGTATATGGATTTGTAAAACAAGTGAAAAAATTAATTATTATTATTATATATGTTTATTACTTCAGCTAAAAAAAAAGTAGTATAATCAATAAAAATCAATAAAACAGACAGGCAACAATATTTACGAGAAAATGTATAATATTTTGCCTAAACTTAATAAGTTGTCATTGAAGAATAGGTTGTAATGTGAAACTAAAAACATTACCATTACATAATAACGTAGTTACAAAACGTATTAACAAAAATAATTGGTATATTTGCGATTGTAATTTATATTTCTTTATTTTTAGTTCGAAAGAACCCATATAAATTAATAATTAAAATTGGTTCCATATCAATAAGTCACAAGATATTTATTTCTTTGATTTCATTTCCATTTTGTTACTGAAAATTTGTGTAATTTACGCTGTTTTTTCTGCTAGTATTTTTACAATTTACAACACAGCAACTGCGGTTGCTTTTTGTTTTGTGTTTACTAACTTTGTAAAAAATTTCCTTAAACAATTCAATCAATTTAAAGGCTACCTTACATATTGTGTTTATTATTATGCGTGCACGGGGATAATCGACAATATGAGCCAGTGCTAGTTGTGTAATTGTGTTATAGTGGTTTTTTTCTGCACTAATCGCATTTGATTTGTTCAGTGTAGCTTCAAATATTTGACTGTAGCGCACATGTAGCATATACTTTAGACAAGTATGACAGTTCGAATACAGTGTCGAGTGTAACACTAGTGCAACAAATAAAATGCATTATTAGTTACGTAGTTTGACCGTATACAGCTTTGGCAAACTGTGGCACATAGTACCTACCTAAAGACATATTAGTAATGCATAAATTAAGGCTGTATAAGTACTAAATTTAGAACTAGATTAATGCATTAATTTGCATTAATGCAAATTTAGCATTAAATTTAGTACAAAAAAAATTAAATAATTTGAACTTGTTCTATTTTCTACAACTTTGCATTATCTCTTGGATAATTTCGCTTGTGTTTGATTTTGTAGGTTTTATTGTTCTTTCGTGGATATTAGTAGCATTGCTGTGTTTGGTTGTTGTCAAGTCAACTAGTGTCAAAGTCATAATAAAAAAATCTTTAAATTCACTTGTCTCTTTTACACAGAATATTTCATTTCTGTGCTAATTTCACGTAAAAATGCGTCAATGCGCGTGCGCCTATACTTAATTTAGTACTAAAAATTGGTATCGTTGCAAAAGGAAAAAAATATTTTTAGTTCTACTGCCCCCCCTTGCCCCCCCAAACGACGCCAATGGCTGTGACCCAATAAACACAGTTAATCGACACCGTAACTGGACCGAAGGAGGCTTGCCGGATGCAGCTTCAGCATATAGGTAGGGCATGTCCGCCCAGCCGAATGTCGACAACCCACTACATTGTAGTGGCGTTCATATATCTATATATTGTTAAAAGTTAAAAGAATTAACTTCAAAATTATTGTTTTTAAATGATTTAGCACGCTGTATACTATAACACCCTGTATAGCCACTTCATAAAACACGTGTTAACATGGTTTTATAACGTTTTATTAAATATCTCGTAAACAATGTTTGAAATGTAATTAATTAAGGAACAAAATAAAGAATGTTGGTTAAATTCTACAATTTCACCAGTAAAAACATCAACAAATTAATATTTTACACCTACTAAATAAATAAACAATTCTCAAATAGTTCGACTGCTTTTTACCCTAATATAATGTGAAGTCATAAAACTATAAATAGCATTTTTCTCAGAATACCGAACGTCGAACACCTGTGTTTCCAAGTGCACAGCGGTGCATTGGAACAAAATGAGTGTCCGGCGCATAGTGAACGAAGCACAAATGACGTATTTCATTATGTCATGATGTTTTCATTGGTTGAAACCGAATAGGTGCGTCAACTATGCCCCGGCCACTCATTTCGTTCCAACAGTATATATTAGAGTGAGCTTCGACGCGACGAGTACAGTTGTATGTTTGCCATCATTCAGTAGTTGTCTTATTGCCATCGAGTACAGTTGTATGTTTGCCATCATTCAGTAGTTGTCTTTGCCAAGTGCTTCTGCCGACGGCACGTTACTTTCTACATTTTTACAAGCATTTAATGCAGTTTATTTTCTGGTGCAAGTTATATCTTCTACAATTATTATGGCATAAGAAATTCTACAAATGTTTTCAAGTTGGTAACTAAAAAATCAACTGTATTAGTTGACCAAATTGTGATGAACTAAAATTGTAAATATTTAAAACTGTTTAGTGAAGATAAGTGAATCAACCACTATGTATTTACTTCAGTGAAAATAGTAAATTAAAAACACTTCTTTTTCTACTACCTATGACTCGTTAGTTATTTCTACAAAAGAACCCAATTCTTCTAACACCAGCGACATATGCTACAGAACATTTTTACCAAAGAAATATTCGGAAGTAACACCGGTATTTTTTCAAATGTCTTTAAAGGTCATAAGGCCTATCACTTCATTGCGTTCGGCTGGTCGAAAGTCAAGTCCCCGCCTTTTCCTGGTCCTGAACACTGAAACGGGTAGACGTAGTATTGTCGACCCCAGTGGAGGCGATATCCTAATTCGCTGACTCTAACAGACACTGCAACGAGCAGACGTGGTATCGTCGACCCAGTGGCGGTGATATCCTAATTCGCTGACTCTAACACGGCCAGACTGACGGGTGTTAGCCATCGTTATTTCCTTTGTTAAATGCCAATCTGGTTATTATTTCGTTGTTACTGTGTGACTGTTGATCCTCACACAACAAGCGGCCATCACTAGCGGGGAAGTTTAACGCATCTACAGGTTCCATTGGGGATTGGAATCGAGAATGTCTATTTCTAGCTAAAGAGACCTAGTAAGAACGAATCCGGTCCAAGAATGACGTTCTTCATAGTAAGAAAGACCAAAATTTTAATGTTGAAATTTATTTTATATCTCTGCCCATTTCCTTTCGATATATTGCGATTCCTGTTGCTGTATTAACCAACGGAGTAATTGTTTTTAGCAAGAAAACGGTCGATCAATTTTTCTGTGACACTTTATTTGAGTTTTTTCCTTTATTAAATGGGTGACATTTGAGAATTGGAATTTATTTCCTTTAATAATTAAATTTATTATTTTCAGAGCTCGGCCGATACTCGAACTCACAACCAGAAATACCAAGAAGCCAGGAAGAAATGCCAAGAAGATCCGGCCACCAAATTGGACGAAGAAACTTTAAAAAATGCTTTTAAAGGGGAAATAAACAAATCAATCTTCGGACCTCACGCTGTTTGCATTTACAGACATCTCGGCATCCTCGACAAGCAGTCCAATGTCAACAAAGTTGAACTGAGAAATAATTTGGACTACGTTATTACAGACACCGATAAGCTTGAGGCGGTTGTCAAGGAGTGCGGTAAAAGGAGAATTACTCCAGAAGAGACGGCTGTTGAAATATTTAAATGTACCAAAAAAGCAATGGCTCCCTATTTGGGTTTGAATTAATATTTTGAACATTTATTAAAGGTAAATGGTTTTCATGTTCTTTAAACAAAAACAAGAAATGGTATTTTTAGATATATTTGTATTTTAAATAGTTGATTATTTAATAAACCAGTTTTCTAAATAAATTGGTATTTTATTTCACTCATGGTATGACAATCCTAAATTACAAGTTTATAATAATAAATTATGCATTTATTTAAACACGTTTATATTAAACAAACAATAGAAAATCAATGTAAATGTTGAGCTACACAATTGAACAAAAAAAGACTAGTTTCCTCAGGCGTGGATTTCTTCTTAGTGCACACACCAGCTACCTCTTCGTTCTTATCCGCATCATCACTGATATTCTTCAGAAATTTTATTACCATATCCTGATTAATGTCAAATTTGTCATTAAAAATACCTACTTTCTTATACACGCAGAATACAAATGGACTATAGATCTCATTCAAATTTCCATGGTTCATTGCAGATTCCATAGTTTTTGCATCCATTGGTGGGTGTGTTACATTTGCGCAAGCATCTACAGCATCTGTAAATATTTTTTTGGTGTCTTCAGAAATCTGTAACATATTAAAATTGATGTTATAGAGTAAATCATTGAACAATAAAGAGAAGATATTTGAACAATATTGCTTAAAATCTCCGAGCAATTACTACTAGAAGGAGTCTTCCCCCCTTCCCCGCGCTAAATTTTGTTTGCAACATCTACTCCTCCCGAGGGGGAAAATACCTCTTTTGTAATTGGCTTATTTAATCAGCGTTGCCAAGTTTGACAGCGCCAGTTCTGACATTTTCTGACACATGTCAATTTCTTATTTGTATTTTACGGAAAATATTATTACTTATAACGTTGTAAGGCTGTAAATGTATATTTAAGATTTATTATCTCTAATAATGTGGTGAAAACATGCTTTATGTATAAAAAGCCTGTTAAAAATGCTTCTTCAAGATAATATATTATAAGTAAGTACAGACACAACCTAATTATCAGAGGCGGTGCATTGGGTAATCACCTTTAATTTGCAATTAAATTTTCTTATTTCCTTATCGAAAAATTAAAATTAAGAGCAAGTAAACTCCAGCTAAGTCCGTCTTCATACGTCTCATAATGATTATAGTAAAGGTTAATTACTTATTATTATTTTAATATCACATCTTTGTAAAGTTTATTGTTATTTTTTTTAGGTTTCCTTTTCTTGATACGAGAAAGAAATACATGGTTCCAAAATATAGGATTTCAACAAGTGACCACCTGAATAACTTTTTATGCTAATGAAAATTTTTATTACAGACCTCAGGGGAAGAAAATATTAAAGACGAAAGAAGTATAATAATCAATCCTGTCACTACTTCTACACTATATTCATCTGCTACTAAAACAGCAAGTAAGTAGAGAAACTTAAGTTTCTTTCAAAAAGAATGTTTAAGGAAAAAGGCATAACCATTTTTTTGTTGACACTTTTTTTTAACTAATCTAGAAGACTAATTTTGTGTATTGTTTAAATTTTCATTTTTTGTACTTAATTTGTTTTAGGTTTAAACAAAATGAACTTCTAAGATATGCATGGAATATTCCAAAAGAGCTAGGAAGGTTTTAAAATTCTTAAGAAAACTATTCAGAGCCAAAAACAAAATAGTCTTCCTGTCCAAAATATAAATAGGTATAAATATTTAGATATTATGAGTGATTTTTTATTCTATAAATAGAACATAATTTGCTTCTAAATCACTACCTAATGAACTATATTATATAGTACAAAACTAAACAAGAATATCACATTATTCATGTCTTTTTTTTAATTTCCTTAAAAAACGTCCCAAAAAAATGTGAATATTTATTATTGGAGTTTACATCGTTATGCTAAAACAATACTAGAACTTAAATAATATAGATTTTGACTATTTTGAGTTATGCAGATCATTATGATCTAAAAAAATGTTTGTCTGGTGCTATAGTCAGGTATAAAAACATTCATTTACTTAAACACAGTTGCAATGTACATTTTATTTAGTTTTTAAGTTAAAACCTATTAGGACATCCTAAAATGACTTTTTTCGTTTGATGAGATCATTTTTTATTATATATTTTTGTTGGTGAAATAGGATATATTAAGATGTCTTACTGTTTTCTCTTATTATCTAAAAAGTTAGAAAAATATACAAAGACTGTTATAAGAAAAAAGAGATATACCTTTACTTAAACACACAATTAGTCAGTTAAATTAAACGATAATTTAAAGCAGAAATCCAGAAAACTTTAAAAAGTGTTTAAATGTGTTTTTACTATAACAAGGACATAATTATTAAAAAAAACTTGGCACATTAACATAGATGATAGGTTTTTATCATATATATTATACAAATCACAACGAACTACACAAAATGACATTACTAATAATTTAGCAATAAAAAAGTTAAGTACAATGATGACATTAAAAGTTGAGTTTCTCGAAATATTTTTTTAAATTGTCTCAGTACTTACCTAGTATTTTTCTATCACAATGATATTATATGAATGTGCATTGTGTGATATCTTATATTTTAGGAATAAAATGATATATTTTTTTGCAGGTTTCTGTTAACAACGATTCCAAGAACTTTTGAAAATATTATTAAAACGGCCTTTGCAAATATAATTCTCAATTAAGAGCTTTTGATCTAACATTAAATTTTTATTCTCCATGAGGTTACAGCTTCCTAAGAAGAAAGTTTAACAAGACCTAACAGACCCAAAATATCAAAATTTTACCAACCAATTGATGGTTCTACTGGTTTCCATAGGAAAATTTTTCTCGAAACTACTAAAAGAAAAGTGGCAGAGGCAACCGAAGAAGGCAAAAAAGTCTTTTGCAAAACAAAAATTAGAAATTTGTTTAAGAATCTAATTATTGTTTGAAGTTTTACCAATAATAATTTTTGATAACGATTTAAGATTATGGAGTTCTATTATGTATTTTACTCTTTAATAACCTATGTTTAAATTTTTATTAGGACCAAAATAAATTATAATTTTCATTTCAACTACAAAAACCCTTATAATATTAAAAAGGGGGAAAGCGTTAGATTAGTTATGTTCAGGAATAAACTCTTTAAACATTTATCTACTTAAAATGTGTTACTTTTAGAAGGTATGTTATTAACTTTCTATTTGTACTTGTATTAATTTATTTCATTTTATTATCTGTTGTATTTTCAAATTGATTTTCATATTAATCTTATCTATTCATATATTTTTTATATTCACATATATGTTTTTTTCATTGAAACAAACGTTTATTAGCTTATTAAATATAATGAATTCATGTTGTTTTATTATATGCTTGTATGAATGATTACTTTTATTTCCTTTTAAAAATGAATTTCGAAACGGTGAGTGAGAATAAAAAATTAGACGAAAGTGACGATATTTACTGGAGCTTTCATCTACACGCTCCTTTTTCTAGCCATCTACACCTGAGCCAGCAAGATTCGTCTTCCCTCCATCCTTACATTCTCCAGATTTACAGAGAAAACGCCGTTCTCTTTAACACATCCAGACCTTCTTTGACGGGGACTATACCACTACATTATCAGCTTTATTTGTTATCCCGAGCAATTTAAATGCATTCGTAATTGCTCATTCTCTTCTCTTGTAGATTCTGTACTCAGTTTTCTTATTTTTAGTTACGTTTGCACTGCTCTTTTATTTTCATAGCTTTAATTCTATAATGCTGTAACGCTACAATATGGATCCATTTTTGTGGTTTATACTATTTAATGTTATTCGTAAGTGACCAACCTATTATAATAATTAAAGATTATTGTATTACAGGCCTGAAGATGTTCCTGTAAGGCCGAAACTAGTCGCTCCTGTATTTATTTAAAATAAAATTGATTTTAAGGTTTTATTCTTCAATTGAAAAAATTAGTCCTTTACAGTGATTTTGTTTCATTTCCTGCATTAGACACATATAAGACGGTATTCATTTTAAAAATAGTAAAATTAGCAATTTTTTTTAGTTTTTTTTTACAATTAAAACGTTTGGACAATGTGTGTTTTTATAGATAAATGATACGCCACTGAACAAGAAGGATGTTTACCTTCCCCCTTGTGCCCGCTTCCTCACTTCCTCTACAGATGTTGCTAACACAACAGTCGCCTACAAACTCGTGTTCACGCTCCCTTTATTAGTAATTGCTCGGAGCTTAAAATGTTTAACTGTTCAAAGGTTATTCTACAAGATGTTCTATCTGAAAGACCAACTACATAACAAATATTTGAGTAGAACGTAGAAAATTCCCAAAAATATGGAGTATATTTTTGGGCTGCAACAATTGATCTAATTGCAACACTTCTTTAAAATTTTTGAATTTATATGACAATGAATGTAATTTGGATATGATTTGTTCACAGTGATTTTTCCAATTGAAATATTTGTCATTGTGCAAGCTCACACATGATATTGGTTGACACCTGAGTGTCATTGTCATTTATTCCAAATTTAATATTGTCACACGGCTTTTGAAAATTTTAAAACCGATAAATTTTGTTTTGTCAACATTGAGAAAAAGGAATTGGCTAAAGAACCAGTATCTATGGTAATTCAGTAAAAGCTGAAGTACAGTTTTCTCTTACTTATCTAACAAAACAAGAGATGTGTCTTCAGCATAGATGGTTAAAGATACAGGTACATGCATATTATGGGTCTAGGAAAATTCCCCGACAACAATTCCCCGACTGAAAAATTCCCCGATTGGAACATTCCTCGATGGAAAAATTTCCCGACTGGAAAATTTCCGGACTTCTAAAATATATTCAATATAAAAACCGATGCACGTCAGAGATGACGTCAGTGACAGTCATTGGTACCACACACACTAATAAAAATAATTAAATTTTATTTTGCAAAAAAATGAATAAATTTAGACGCATGGAGTTCATTTTAATAAAATTGCATATTAAAAATGTTTTTTTTATCATATCTCAGTAGTAAATGTACTGTAGGCAGATTATTAACGGAACACTTTCTTGTGAATTTTATAATAAAAGTTGGCATCAAATGTGTCAGCTTTCAATTTTAATACATTGTTGTCAATTGTTATTTGTTTTGTATTATTTTACATCGACCGATTTCTTTTCAACAAATTATTTGTATTTTAGATTAAATTATTAACAAACTATTCTTTTCAGAACAAATGTATTAGGAATTTACTAGTGGTGTTCGTTTATTGTGTATTTTTTCATTGAAAAATGTCAAAACAATTAAATAGTCGCTGCAAGGAACTAGTGGCTTCTCTAATAAATTATTTTGAGAAAGAACGTGATAATAATGGGCCTTTGTTACACAAAAAGATTGTATAGACATGTGGTCTGAAGCACTCCGAACCATTACCCCACAAATGTGGGCAGACACACTGCAAAAGAAATTTTTAAGTGGTGCGAAAGAGAGCATATACTGGACCGATTGGAAATTGCTCCCATTATTATAAAACCAAATAGAAATGATTCTGATTTTAGTTCTGATTATTCTGACTGATTTTAGCTTAAATATTATTTAGGTTTTAAAATGTCATGTGTTGT